AGCTCTAGCTTACAGGATGGGCTCCTTTGCATTCACCCTTTCATGGCTCACTTTTGCAGCCCTGAGACTGGTTGACAAGAGACCAACCAGGAAATAGCTCTTTTGGATTGTGTGTATGTCTTTTTTTTCAAATGTGTTGCTTATATTTTATTGATTTTTTACAGAGAGGAAGGGAGAGGGATAGAGAGTTAGAAACATCCATGAGAGAGAAACATCAATCAGCTACCTCTTGCACACTCCCCACTGGGTATGTGCCCGCAAGCAAGGTACATGCCCTTGACCGGAATTGAACCTGGGACCCTTGAGTCTGCAGGCCGACGCTCTATTCACTGAGTCAACCCTGTCTGTGTATGTCTTTTTAGCTTTAAATAAAGTGTTTAACGGAGAGAAAGAGAGAGAGATACACACACACACACACATACACACACACACACACACACACACACACACACACACACACACACGAAGACACCAAAGAAGAGATGCCCTTATACTGCCCCCTAATGGAGAACCAAGTGGGAAAAACCAAGGTGAGACCCAGGAAAAAGCCATGAGCAGATGGTTTTGACCTATTTCTTTGAATTTGTAGACAAAAATATTTTCCCCTTCTGTCTTACATACTTTTCCTGAATTTATCTTTCCTTATATTGGAGTAGTAAGATATAGAAGACTTAAGTTAGCATGTTAGCTTACCCGGAAGGAGACCAAGTAATTCTTCTTTTATGTAATTTTATGTAATTTTAACCAAGAGGCCCACAAGGAATCCAAGTATTCCCTTCAGAAGACAGCCAAATTCTCCATTGCTGAGGTTTTGGCACCAAGATCATCACTAAATATGGAATTCCCAAAATCAGATATGGTGAAATTAGCAGTTCTACAAACTCCCCCAAATCTCTTCCTGTTTTTGAGCAGGACCTTTTGATCCCAAGGACCTACTTTGTTTTTCACTGTTTAGAGAAACCTTGGAAATTGGTCAGTTTTCTCATATACTAACCAAAAATTAAATCTTACCCATCAGCCTTTATTCAGTCAGTTATAATGAACATTACCAGCTGATATATTCAAAACAGCTAAAACTGCACATGTTTAAAAATTAATTGAAGAATGAAATCTTGACAAAATTTAAGTGAAAATTTTGGCTTGGGAAATTTGAATTTAGCAGGTATAGTGGCCACAAGAGAACTCAGCAGAAGATACCATTGGTAAAATTTGAAATGAACTCCAAATTGACAATATCTATTATAAGTGTATAAAAAAACCTGGATCCCAATGAACATAATTACAATAAAATGGAAATGCACTGCATAGTAAATTGATCCAAGAATTAAGTTGGCTTAATGGAGTTGCTTCAGAGAATTTCTTGATGAAAATTCACCATTGTTAGCCCAGTTTGTTGTTTTTATTAATCCTCACTGAGGATATTTTTCCATTGCTTTTGAGAGAGAGTGGGAGGGAAGAAGGGAAGGGGGAAGAGAGAGAAACATCAATGTGAAACTCTCACATCCATTGGTTGCCTCCCACACACCCAGTGCACGGGCTAACACTCTAACCACTGAACACACCAGCCAGGGCCCAGTTAGAAATTTATGATCAGATCACCCTGTGAGGTTACTTTCATAGGACTTCTATTTTTGTCCACACTCTGTGAGCTCCTTCCCAAAACCCATAATCCCCATCTACCCAAGTAAATAACATCAGACAAATCCCATTGAGGGACAGTCTACAAAATACGACTAGCACTCCTCAAAAACTGTTAGTTATCAAAACCAAGGAAAGTCTGAGAAACTGTCACAGACCAGAAGACGCTAGGAGATATGACAAGTGAATATAATATACCCCACATAGGATCCCGGAGCAGAAAAAAGAACATTGGGGGGGTGGGGAATAGTAAAATGCAAATAAACTGTGGAGTTTGATTAAACTGCCAAAAGAGATTAGCAAGAGAAAAGAGATTTTTATTCACATACTTATACAGTAGTTCACAGAAAAATATGACTCAAGGGGGCAGTAAGAATTTGGGGCTTACACACCGTGGCTGGGGATGGGAGCCTGCAACCAAGGTACAAGGTTTGTGCCCTTGACCAATATCGAACCCGGATCTTTCACTCTGCAGGCTGGTACTATCCACTGAGCCAAACCAGCTATCTTATTTCCCATCTTACTTTCAAGTATTAAAAAAATGTAGCCAAGTCTTTAAAATTCCCATCTTACATCTGCCTTAGAGCTCCCCTCCTCCCCCTAGGCTCAGAGACTGCCTCCTCCTCTTCTACACCTGCCTCCAGCAGGTTGGGGCAGGAGGAGGGGCTTGGGATCAGGGTGCAGAGTTCTTCCTTGGTTGGGATTGACTGTGGCTTTCTGCACTGATCCCCAAAGGGTCCTGAGGCGGGAAATAATTTGGCATATTTAAGGAACTGAAAACATCCAGAGGAGGGAAAAGGGAGAGACTGGCAGTCTGCCCTCCAGCACCTGTAGGCACACATAGGCACAAATGATTTTACGTAAAGGGGATCATACTACATGTGCTGTTACCAACCAGTTTTGTTTTTCACTCAATGTAAATGGCCAAGAATTGGCAAAGTTGTTTTTTTTTTTAATCCAATTTTTGCAAGGGAGAGAAAAGAATTTTGGTAGCTGCTTGAAATGCTAATTCGTATAAGCTTCCCCAGATGAAGTGTGTCAGTCACAAAATAATGGGCAGAGAAGAGGGCCTGGAATGAGGTCCCCAAAAGCACCAACATTTAAAAAGTGGGCAGATGAAACTCTGCAAGGGAGAAGGGGAAGGAGTAACCAGAAAAGTAGCAGGGAAAATTGGCAGTTGTGGTGCCAGCGAAGCCCAAGGAACATCATTGAAGGGAGAGAGACAGGAAAGGTAAAAACTGAGAAGATCCTTGCGGTGCAGCAACATAGATGTTGTGGAGATAATGCTCCAGGGAGTCTTTTAAGGCAGTCACTGAGCTGGGTCTGGAGGCAAGCAGGATCCCACAAATGGCAATGGGGCAGGGGGTCGGGAACACCATTCCAAACGCAGGACCAGTCGGTGCAAGAGCAGGACCCAGCGAGTAAGAAAAGCGAGAGTTACTTAGGGATTTCTTCCCCGCTCCCCCGCTCCCGGTCCATCCAGGCTTAGGCAGTAAGGTAGCAAGGGTAGCAAACAGCCAGGCGCAAGCCCGCCCGGCTCATCCGCAGCAGCGCCGCCTACGACCGGTAGAGTGCGCTCTCCACGGAGCCTGTTCGGCTCGC